GGTGAAAGGACTCAATGAAAAAGTTATCCAGAAAGAAATATTTCTGTGTATGGCGGGAAGTGTTTGTTGTGTAAAGCAGTTCAAAACTGGCTCGAGGAGCTTGGCAAACGTTCGTTGATGACGAAGAGTTTGAAACGGAGGAGGGGAAGTGGCTGAGACAAAAGTCGAAATACTTCTGTGCTGCGAGTTTGGTCACACTGGACAAGTGTATCAGTGTTGGTGGAGGATATGTCGAGAAATAAATAATTTTTTTCCAGTTTCGAATACCCGATGTGTTGCGTTTTATATCAATTTGTGACCTATTCACTGACTACCTAGCAATTTAACCGCATGTGGCAGAGTCTAGCTTTTGTACCTGATGCTCATTTTACATACAACAATTATTGATAGTATTGGGATCATGTAGTCTATGGGTAACGTTCCCACCTCATGACTCAAGGTACGCGGGTTCAAACCCGGCGGAGGTCGTGGAATTTTTAAGGGCGGAAAAATTCAGGGAACAAGTCCTCCGGGAGGGACTTTAAGCCGTGAGTCCCGTGTAGTAGATTTACGGCACGTAAAAGATCCTCATGTCTCTAGGAGACCTCTGAGCAAAATTAGGCAAAAAGTTTCCCGCCCAAGTAGTTTCCAATGCCTCCGGTAGATGGGGAAGTTATCGGGTACCACTGCCAGAAGAGGGCCGACCTCGCTGGCAGAAAGGGGTTGATAGCGAGCACCAGTATCGGTAGGGTATGGCGACAGTAGAAATTAAAGGGGGACGTACAATAGACTACTAGTCGCGGTGCATGGGGAAACCCACCCCCTCTAATACTGAATAACTGAATGTATGCGAACTGCTTATGGCGATTTCCTGCCGCCTTATACATTCATACGGCTCGAGTGCTTTCTCATAGCTCCATGTAACATATTCAGTTGACACGTCGTAGCAAAATGAACCCAAGAAGTTAACAGAACGTGTAAATATAGAAACACTGTAGGTGTAAGACTAGCTCCTTGCAAAGTGTAAAAATAAATAGTGACATACCATAGCTGAGGAAATGTGAATTTATCTAGCCCAGAATATTGTTCAATAGTGGGCCCTGCTTGATTAGCTCTTTGACCCTGAAAATGGAAGCAGTATGTTATTCCGAAACTTCAGAAAACTTATACCAGGATACAAGACGTTACCTCCCAAAATGTCAGTAATATTCACAGTCCCCGCCGTGAGAAACTCAAATCTCACGAATTTTTTCCCCCCAGCTAGTGGGGGCTGGAGTCCAGCTGGGTCCACTCGGCACTGCGGCCATTGATTGGCCTAGTGTACCTGCCCCAGGTGATTATGATGATGGAGAATTTTGTGGAATGAAGATTGGCAGGGGAAACCGAAGTACTCGGAGAAAACGCCCCAGCGCCACTTTGTCCACTATAAATCCCACTTGACCAGACCCGGGATCGAATCCCGGCCGCCGCGGTGGGAAGCCAACGACTAACCGCTTGAGCTATGGCGCGGCCCAAATCTCACGTTTGTTAAACTTATAGTTATATAAAAAGTGGATAATTTCAAGACTAGCTAAGCGATTATCAGCTTCTCGAGTAGGTATCTGTTCAATTGAGTTAGCTCATTAATCTGCATTAGGAAGTTAAATACTGGCCTTTATTTCCGGGATAATCCGTGTCTCTGTTTGATGAATGAAACGCACTGGGGCAGGTTTATATCTGAGTTTTCCTCTGTCAGTCACCAGAGTTCGCATTCATCTACCTGTCACAGAACGAGAAGTTTGTGTAGCCCAAACCAAGCGACAAGTTGTCATATCTCTGTCCATAGTCGGGTCGTCATACGTGACTCGACATTTGACTGGGCTCAAAACATAGAGGATTTCCAGACTTCCAGCAAGAGTCACAGTTTTCTGGCCAAAGGCTAACTTACGAAACGGTGGCCACGTTTAAATCAGTGGGATTTGTCGGCACCTTGGACATAGCCAAGTTAGGCAAACACTATCTTCAGTATCTAGGAAGTTTTCCTTATCCTAGTGCAGTTATTATTACGGGTTTGAAATGTTTTATCATTTGACTTTTGGAGAATTTTGCAAACCAAATATTATCACGCTAACACTGTTATTGTCTAGCTCTTTTTTTAAGTTTTGTTTTCTTTCTGATATCAGAAAGGCTTACTTAACGGTATATAATGTCAAGTGTATGGGTGACTGTTAGACGGGGTTTGAATTGGATGTTTGGATTTATTGCACTTAGCACTCATGTTGTAATTACATGCAACACAGCGCTAGGATAGCGTAGTCGGTATAGCTACTAGCTACAGGTTGGACGACTGAGGGGTCGGAGTTCGAGTCCCGATTAGGAAAAGGGTCATAAACAAGTTATACGCAAATCTTAGCAATTTCTATCACACACTACCGGTCACAGTAGCCGAGCGGTTTCAGGCATAACCGCTCGTAAAGGTAAATTGCAGATGTACACGTAACCTATGCGTTACAAAGTCTTGTGACAAAATCATACGTGTTCGTGTGGATAAAATATTTGCTAGACATACGTGTATATTCTGGCAGTGCTATGCGAGTAAAGCGTTAATCACACTATACTCATGTGTATACATATGCTTTAACATAATTGTTAATGGTAGATTTCTAATGAATGAGAAAGTATTTATGGTCACTAAAATTCCTAGAGAAAGTCCTGGGACTATCATTATAGACTGACAAATATAGGTAATAATCACATTCCTTATCAATTATTATTATTATTCGGAGAGATGTTATGTAGAAACAATGTTTCTGTAAAACAGATATATAAAATTGTTCTTAAAAACATGTCAATATTTGCTTGAAACTTAAACTGATTAATATTATTATGTAACCGTCAGCACAAAAAATTCATAATAATTAAGCCAATATTACTGTATTATTCGTGTATTATGTACATTTGCTACATGTTTCGATCCAGCTGGATCATCATCAGGCCATTTTCACGAAATGTGCTACTCGTTATTGAATTGTATTTCTAATGTGGATCTATATTAATGAGAATTAATATAAATATCCCCATTATATTAAACGGTAGTCAGTACAAATAAAACCACAGAGTCAGAAAAGCCACTATCTAACAGCAAGAAAACGTGGTACCCTATAACGAACACGATACAACATACACGTAAATAAAATAAATCAAAATTAAAATATAAGACGACCCCCCTAAAATATCTACTCACGGCACCACCAAAAGAAAATACACCATTTTCATGCTGAAAACCTCCATGTACTCGTAATTTGTGGCTACACCACACTCTGTGGCTTTAGTCCGCAAGAGAACTATACCGACCGAGCAACTGACGCTTGTCGGAGAAGTTAGTGCCAACTTTAGCGGATAGAGGGTGTCGCGTGGTCAGCGCAACGAATCCCCATGGTCGTTAATTTCGGTTTTCTAGACCGAAACCGCTATTTCCTTGAAATAGCTCCTCAATTGTCATCACAAGACTGAGTGGACCCCGTTCCAGACACACTACTTCTCAGATAATCTGGTAGCGCCAGGAATAGAACCCGGGACCTCTGGATCTGTAGGCAGGAACTCTGACCACTAGACCACAGAGGCGATCACCGTGTAACTAACTATACATCACTCAAATTTAACTTTATTATAAAACACAGAGTCTGTTTTGAGGTGCACAAAATAATTAAAAGCAATGCAGACACCCAGAAAACCCCTCCCCTCTACGATATATCATAGACTTGTACTCGTACTTCGCGCTCAAATATAACGTTTTTAATTTAATTTTAACTATTAACTTCTAATATAGAATTATAACGTTTTACATTCATTTTAAAACTTATATTCTAATCTAACAATACACGAGGATCATAAGGAAGTTAGCACTTATGACCATTAATATGGATCCACATTAGAAATACAATTTAGTATGAGTGTATATTTCATGAAAATTCCCTGATGATGATTCAGCCGGATCGAAACATGTACATAATAAACGAAAATTAATACAGTAACATTGGTTTATTTATACTATTATTTTGATTTGGCGGTGGCATAACAATGCTATATAGTAATACACAACAGCATGCAAACAAGTAAAGTGAGTTCAGATAGTTTTACAAACATTAGATAGAATATTAATTATATAATTATTAATGTACGCGTATAGGTTATGTATAAATAGTTCACTGATCAGCTTCATAATTTTCAATCTTCATCACCAATTATTCCGATAACAAATCAAATAGGATAGAATGTGTGAGTAAAGAGCACGCACAGGAAGTCCTGAAGGGAACAAGCCACATTGAAGGCCCAGGCTTAGATGGGAAGATAATATTAAAATAGATCTTAGAGGAATAGTGTAGGAAGATATGGACCTGGACCACCTAACTCGGAATTGTGACCAGTTATGGCCATTGTGAACATGGCAATGAACCCTCATGTTCCATAAAAGGCGGAAAATTCCATTGCTAGCTTAGTTAGTTAGTTAGTTATTGGAGAGGGTGGGTTTCCCCATGCACTTAGACCTGTCTTGGTCCATTGTGCTTCCCTCTATGATATTCTACCAGTCTCTATATCCTACCGGTACTGGTGCTTACCATCAGTCCCACCCAGCCAGCGAGACCGGCTCTACTAGCTGAGAGGTATCTATAATGCTTCCCCTCTCTACCAGAGGTATTAGAGACTACTCTTGGGCGGGAAACATCCGTAATTTTGCTCAGTGGCCTCCTTTGGAGACATGAGGTTCTTTTAGATGCCGTAAAGGTACGGCACGGGACCCACTTAAAGTCCCTCCCGGAAGACTTGTTCCCTGAATTTTTCCGCCCTTAAAATTTCGACGACCTCCGCCGGGTATTTGAACCCGCGTACTACGAGTCATGAGGTGGGAACGTTACCTCTAGACTACGGAGGCCGCTCATTGCTAGCTTAGTGGTTATTGGTTTCTCAATAAGGACTATAATGTGCTCGAATTAGTTTCTTAAATAGGTTTATGTACAAATGCAATAAATAAAGTGAGTGACTTAGATTCCAATAAACATTTAATGTGCTGCTTTCTACTCAACTTCCGAAGATGATTTTCTCTTCGGGTACAGCAAGAAACATATAGCTATCGTTTTTAACACTGAATGTGAAAGAGCATTGCACTGTTAAGAACAGAAAAATTGCAAGGTCTTAAATGAGATTAAGGTATTTTGAAATACATTCGTGTCTGATTCGTTATATATGCCAAGCGGCATTTCTTCCCTCAAACTGATACATGTAAATATGAAGCAACTGAGGCGATATAGCTTCTGCGTGACCAGATATTGTGCTTTTATGAACTAAGGAACTTCCGCTGAATATTCATAAGTTGATAACGTCACAGTAGGCTTCGGGCAGCTTCCAGATCTTAGTAGGTGTTATTATTGAAGCTAGGATTACAACAGACAGCGGTCAGCAACTAGCGGTTCTCAGACTGCGTGTAACTCGCTGGTCCTCTTTGTGAGGATCGCCCATGAATATTCTTATGAACCGGAAATAAAAAATGTTATGGCTATCAATACTCTACACGAAAATAAAATAGTTTTAAAACTATAATAATGTCAAAATATAAATATTTCTTCATTAAAACCGTCACAACACAACATCAATAACACTTGTAAGCAGCTCTAAAAGATAACTTTGCTACATGTTTCAGCCTTCAATAGAGCCATCATCAGGCTAATACATTAAACTTTTCGTTATTGAATTGCATGTTAAATATATGTCACAGTGCTAAACTTCCGAGTATATACAATTGTATAAAATGATATGAGTGAATTCAAATATAAATTACAATAAAAGTTAAAATCTTAATTGATCAGTTACATAGTCAAAAGTATAGTTAAAAATTGTATATGCGATGTTACTTGGAAGTTGGTAGTTGCATTCGTAATACATGTAATAGGTATACGGACATATTATATACACAATGGCTGATGTAGTGTTTGGAGGTACGTTGTTATGTTGTATGTTATTATTTAATATTTGATACTATTTGATACTATTTAACGGGCGACTCCGTTGTGTAAATGTCCGATTTGATGGAGAGATAGATTACAAATCTACCACAACAACAATATAACAATTATATATATATATACATATACCCATGCGCCTATGATTTATTTTTAATTACTTCTTCTCCTCTTCTGTAATTCTCGGAGTTTCAACAAGAGCATGATGCGATTTATTATCAACAGATTCAACCATAAGCAGCTGTTCCTCGTACAAATCGTTTCTTATGCATAAACACGGCTCTTGCAAATCATCTGCAATATGAAGAGCAGCTGTTTGCACATTGCCACACTTATCAGGTTTCGGAGATTTATTTACGTGAAGTTTTCCGCTATTTTCACAGGACTCAGTTTGTGAGGGGCGAGCAGGAAGTTCTGGTAAGTTTGACATGTTAGGACTTGATATATAATCATAATGGTGAATATTGTTGGAACTTGTATCAGACTGCATTATTTTCTCTTCTCCAACAATGGCTGCAAATCTGAGTCTCATCTTAAAGTACAACAGAGCACAACATATTATCTGCAATACCGTAAATATTACAAACCCCAGCACTACTAACAAAAGAGTGGACATTGACACCAGTATATAATCTGACTTTGTTAAGTTAGTGCCACTTGCAGGAAGCATGGCGTCTTGAATTTCATTTCCCGAACAGTTCTGGAAGGATTCTAATCTCAGCCATTGAGATACATCTTCTGACATCTGCCTGTGGAAGGCGGTTCCTGTATCCAACTTCATCTCTTTACACCAGAGCACTATTGGTCTGAGGTTACAGTCAAAATGAAGTGGGTTCTCGGACAGTTCAAAACGCCTTATTGATCTAAGCGGAAGTAAGAGAGTTATATTTATCGTAGTTAGTCTGTTGCCATTCAGTAGAAGCGTGGAGAGATGTTCCTGTGATGAGAACAGATAATCCGAAAGAAAATACAGATTATTGAATGACAAGTCGAGATAATCTAATTTAATTGTATGAAGGAATATCATCCTAGTTAAAGTGGTTAATTTGTTGAAACTCAACAACAGTGTTCTTAGATTAGCTTGAAAAGCAAACAGCTCGATTTTGTTTAGTGAAGTCAGTTTATTATATGATATATCGAGGTGTTCTAAATCAATTAGGCTGTAAAATACACGGTTGTCCAATGAATCCAGTAAGTTTCCTCTCAGTGTCAGAGACTTGAGACTGTTCATATTGTAGAACACTTCATATCCCAAAGAGGTGATGCCACTATGGTTCATCCACAGTTCTCTAAGTTTGCCGAAGTTTCTCTCGGGGTATATGGAGTCTGCTGTTAGGGATCCGAAGTTTTTATTGCTGCAGTCAAGATGGATAATGGGACAAGGCAAATTCGCTTTGCAGTCAGTAATATCCGGACATCCATATTGGTTTCGTTTTTCAGATGCAGTGATACATAGAACAGTAACTGCTGTGGTCCAGAGCCACAGTGCAGCTCTCATGACGCTGTAACAGAAGAATTCAGATTTAAAATAATCCCCTTGTCGTACAGAAGTCACCATGTCATCAGTGGTTTTTACCACGTAAAGAATCAACTTTTCTCCTCGCTTTGTCATAGGCTTAAAATTATTATTATTATTATTTATTTTAACCGCAAGTGGGGTGGGACTAAGTCCCTTGAACTGCGGCAACTTCTGGCCTATTGTACCAGCCCAAGATGATAGGTGAGGGTGATTGTGGAGCAATTGGTGGAATGAAGATTGGCAGGGGAAACAGAAGTACTCGGAGAACCCCTGCCCCAGCGCCACTTTGTCCACCACAAATCCCACTTGACCAGACTCGGGATGGAACCCGGGCCGCCGCTGTGGGAAGCCAGCGACTAACCACTTGAGCTATGGCGCGGCCAAGTGGACTGTTAGCCGGTGGCAGTGGTACTACACGCATATGAAACATATCACACAAAATAACACACCACGCTCAAAACACAGCACACAAAACTACACAAATAATAAAGGATATACTACACACAATGAATACAATACAAATACAACTACAACAAATATAATTACAACTACAATTATCTAAATTAATATTAATAAAAATAATCATACTATTCATTAACAGTAACATTAATGATATACGTAATATCATGAACCGATGCACTCACATTTCTCAATGATATTCCTTTCATTCCATTTCACTATACACTTACACAACCGTCACACCTTCACCACAATTTACTTCTATTCACTTCAATTCACTGCATTTTTGGATGTTTTCCCCCACACCTTCACTTCGCCTTATTTATCATTTGACAACCCTGTTCACTTTTGGCGGTAGTACGCTGTATATATGCTTTGAAGAAAATGTATGATCCAATAGGAATGTATTTGGATGGAATCCNATTAATTAATTAATTCCTAATAATTGGTTTCGAGAATGTTCGTTATACTGGAAATTGATGTCTCCCTTTCCTTCACAATTTTGTTTTACAATGACTGATTCTTGTTCTGTTTCAAAACGCTCTATCAGATGCATAAGTTCTATATCATCATGTAATTGTACGATTTGATAATTGTAAATTATAAAGGATACTGGAGGAAGAAACCGTGACCTATTTAACGTACTGCAATAGAACTTGCCTGGAGGAACTGAGGAAAACATGGGACCTCCCGAATGTCACTGGATCGCAGTGCGTAGTAATATCGGTGTTATGAAGCGAGTCTCAGCGAGGCTGTACATTGGAACACGACCATTGCTTAATTATCATCTTAATATTCTTTAACGTTTTATATTAAAGCAACTGAACTAACGCATACCAGATCTGAAAAACTGTTTGCCTACAGGTTACATTCTCCGAAGACTTTCCCAAAGAATAGCGCTGACTTTGAGTCATGTTCACTTCGATGTATTTCAGCTCTTTCTGGTCACATATTCCCGACCGGAAGCGTTTCCTGCCACAAAGGAAACGGAAAAGAAAACTTCAGAGACCTAATGATACAGACATAGGTCGTGTCTGTGAAGGCCTGAAGTTCTGAAATCCTGCTTGAGTTTGTTTCCCTGAAACACTGAGAACGTCCGATCATTAGGCTGTAGTATTAAAAAAGTATACAGATTTCGGCAGGTCTGTGGACCTTAAAACGGGTAGTACTACAAGGGAATTGCCGGAAAATGAAGTTAGTAAAACCCTACAGTAGTGTAGTTCAGCAGACACTAGACAGCGTTGAGGCTTGTTAGTTTCACACTTGTGTGGTGAAACATGTTTTGGTCATCATCAATTGTAGGATAAGTGCGTTATTTTGTCGAATTACACGAAATTTTTACAAGTCTTGGGTTGGTTATTAATGTCTGTACCGTCTTCACCAATCCCTTCAGTATGGTTCCAATAGAAAGAGATTTTAATTTAAAAAATTGCTTAAAGTATTTTAATTGATACTTTAGTTTCATGTGTTTTTACACGTTATCAACTTCATTTCATGCGTTTAGTTTAAATTAATTTGAGTGCTCTCTTTTTTTCTGTATGTGACACTAATTTATATGAAACTGCTCGTGTAAATACACGTTTGCGACGTGGAAATAGTTGATTTAACTTTGCGGTGCCGTAAATTATTTTCATGCGAAAATATCATTGGACCAGCAGAACCAGAAATGAAAGTTATGCAGTTGGGAAATGAGAAATGCATTCAAAATATAATCGGAAACTCCTAAGGGAGGAGCCAATCTGGGAGGCTTGGGCGTGGATTGGGGAAAAGTATTTAAATTAATCTTAAAGAAACAGGATATTGCGATGTGGACTGACTCATAATAGGACCCAGTGGTGAGTTATTGTGACCCTGATGCTCAACTTTCGAGTTCTAACCGGGAAATTTCTTGACGATCTGAGAGACTATCAGCTTCACACGAAGAACTCTCCTCATTGGAGTTAGTCGCTCATGTGTTGTGCTAGCAGACTACATACGAATGTAGCAAAACAATTTGCATACTTACTATTTTAAATATTGATTCCTGAAGTCTCTCGGTGGAAGGAAAGCTGCTTAGTGAGCGAAGCAGTACGTGTGGCCTGTACTCTGCAATGATGGCGGTCAGAGCGACTCCACACACCGGACACGGTACATCTCGACCCAGCTACAACTTGAGCTTGAGTCATTGTAGACTTCGCTTATCTTCCGGCTGACGCAGCAAGCGGCTGCCCCTGGATCTTGGCGTCATTTGTGTTTCCTCCCATGGTAGGCATCGTTTCCTTTCTCCGTAATGCTGAGATACGTACTGCCTTGAAATAAACTATGATCGCTGTCCTCAAATACATGTCTGCTGGGCATCTATAAGCTTCATACTGTCATGAAGTAATGTTCTTATAAACTGGAATATTTTTAAACTATTTAATGTAGGCCTTAATTGACGCAAGTAATGAGGTTGGTCTAGAAGTAAACACAGAGAAAACTAAGCATATGTTGCTGTCTCGTCACCAAAATGCAGGGAGAATTCATGACAGAAATCTAGGAAACAAATGTTTTGAAAACGTGGCAGAGTTCAGATATTTGGGAACGACTATAACAAAACCTGATTCAGGAGGAAATTAGGACGAGACTGAACTCAGTTAATGCTTGCTACCATTCAGTCCAGCACCTTTTTTCTTTACGTCTGCTGTCCAAAAACATAAAAATTAGAATATACAAAACTATAATTTTGCCTGTGGTTCTGTATGGGTGTGAAACTTGGTCTCTGACATTGAGGAACATAGACTGAGGGGGTTTGAGAACAGGGTGTTGAGGAGAATATTTGGACCGAAGAGAGATGAAGTGACAGGAGGTTGGAGAAAACTGCATAATGAGGAGCTTCATAACTCGTACTCTTCTCCAAGTATAATTAGAATGATCAAGTCAAGGAGGATGAGTTGGGCAGAGCATGTAGCACGAATGGGGAAGACGAATGCGTATAGGATATTGGTAGGAAAGCCATAAGGAAAGAGACCACTGGGAAGACCAAGGCGTAGGTGGGTGGACAATATTAAAATGGATCTTAGAGAGAGAGGGTGGGATGTTATGGATTGGATTGATCTGGTTAAGTATAGGGCCCAGTGGAGGGCTCTTGTGAACACGGTACTGAACCTTTGGGTTGCATAAAATGGTGGGAAATTCTTGAGTAGCTGCAGAAATGGCGGCTCCTCCAGAAGGGCTCAGATCCAGCAGTAACTAAGTAAGTAAATGTAGGCCCTATTGGGCAAAACAATTTATTTAAAGAGTTATTTTTATCATTTGTTGTGTTCGTGATTTTCCTTCTCTTCGCTTCTTTCTTTCTTTCTTCCTTCCTTTCTTTTTTTTCCGGATGTGGGGACTAGCTCTATCGACTGGACCCAACTAAGTAGGCTTTTACCTCAGGACGGAAACAGAATCCAGTCTTCGACACGTTGATTTAAATTAAAAAAAGGACGATGGATAATGTCCAGACCATGAATAATTGTATTGATATTCCATCGTCACAAACTTCTAGGTCTCACTTTAAATGGTAACGTTTCCAGCAAGACAGACATAAGACACAATACTGTCTCATGTAGTTGTCAGTGTACAGGTCCTACATAATGAATTGTAAGCTCGTGAATTTTTGTTATTGAATATAAGTGAGGATTCCTACGCCTGCTGTTTCGTAAATACTGCCTTCCATGCATGAAGATCTGGCCCCCGTCCCAAGGTAGGAGGTCGGGTTAATTATCAAGAAATACTGTAAGATGTGAAGCTGCGTAGTCTGGTAGATACCGTATTTACGCATGTATAGGCCCCACATTTTTTGCCAAAAAAATTCAAGAGGAAAACTGGGGTGCGGCTTATATTCGAAATGTTCGAAATCACACTTCATTTTAAAAAAAATATATTCATAATTAGTAATACAGGGTGTTCTACTCCTGAAATAATATTCCAAGAAAATTATTTTTTCTATAATTTCTGTCTGAAAATTGTGCTGCGGCCTATACACGCACGCGGCCTATACATGCGTAAATACGGTATGTACCAACGTTTCGGAATAGCTTGCTGCTTCTTTCTTCAAGGTAGAAAACTTAATGGACCTCGTCACCTTCGCTATATTACACGTGAGATTTTCACAATGATAAATTTAAAGATTACCATCACCTGAGCTGGATGCTGTGTAGACTGGTAGTATCTGCATACCAAACTGTATGGTGTCACATCCTAGATCATTCACCCCGTGAGAGCCTCGAATCTCATATGTAAATATGAATACTTCGATTCTTTGTAACTGTATTTCATCAGATATTTACTTACATTCTGCTTATGTTCTGCAAGCAGGGCTAATCTGTGTACGATTATTATGATTTTCTTCAGTTTTTTCCAGGAAAACCTTAATTTCAGTCTGTAATATAACTCTTCTAATATTACTGATGTATACAAAGATATGTACATATGTGTATATGTATTTGTGTATCGCTTTCTGGACAATATCTTTTGAGTTTCCCTCTCTTTTTGCGAAAACGTAGACTGTGAATATCACCATATCCGTGTCGTTGTGTGTCTTCTCTTCTTAACAGATGCTGATAACAAGAACAATAATAATTCAGTTTACTTCTTTATTTTTACTTATTAACAAATACATGCCTATAAAATATCCTAGTGCTTAATAGCTATATACAGCATATATGTAACTTATAATTGTACTGAATATAACGAATTTTAATAATTATTAATTAATGGAATTGGCCAAAGGATTGATGTTAAAAAAATTATTGTCAAACATGGTGACCAGACGAGATACGAAGATTAGCTCTACTCTACAAACAACGACTACAAGGACATGACAACAGATTAATTAAATAATTAAGAAACCCTCCCAACGTTGTACGGAGACTGAAGAGACAGTGGCCATCCGACCTTCCGAACAGACAAAATTAGATCAAGCAATAAATTCTAGCATCAGTTTTGTTTAAGAGCATCGACGCTGGTTGATTCTCTACTCACGTTCCTACTTTTAACCAATTTACTTATTGCTCATTACTGTAGTGAGTAGATTGTAAATTCGCAGAGAAATAAAAAAAACATGGTGATGATGTCACTGATTTATTTGCTCCTAAAGAACAGGGAACAGAATATTTAATATTAACAATAACAAAAATAAAAATAATATCATAACACTGAAGACTGTCTCACTTTTTAACAATTTATTCCGTAAAATAAATTATATCAACAGTGCAACCTCTCGGAAAGAATTACTATTCGCTTCTTGGTTTTTTTTAGAAATAGAAGCATGGAAACCATTGGCAGTATTTCCGAAACCATTCGCATAATGAGGATTGAAATGAGAGGACTTTGTGAACGGAAATAACATTTAGCAAAAATGAAACTGAATTCTCGTGTCTAATGTAATTCGAACATTTTGAATTCAATGCGGATCTGTCAAGCAATTTTGAAACAAGAGGATAATTGGTTACTCTGTCTGTCTATGATGTTCTTCACTTTAATATTTACGTATGGATCTCATAGTAGCAGAAACAATGCCAATATATTATCTGTTCACAGAATTGGCTGTTTACAAACAATAATGTATAGGGTATAAATATTTCTCCCAAGCTAATTGAAATTACAGAATTTATTTCACAAACTGTAGCTACATTTAACCATTCACTGAAGACTCATAAACCGTGCAACAGAGCCATAATATGTCAGAAACAGGTCATATAACCATAAATAATATATTATGTACATACAAGTTTGCACACACCACGATACTTGTGTTATTCTAGTGCCGTGATTAATTACCGAGTTTCTAAACACTTAATTTCACATAAAATTTTTAGTTTTTACTGCTAGATACAATATTCCAAATATTTCCTGATGATGGAGACACAGACGTTCTCCGAAATGTTGAACTTAAATTCCTACTTTATACAAAAGCTTAACAGGGATCTTAATTAATTGCGACGTTCATACAAATGAGATATTTGCATTACAGCTAATAACGGAGGTGTAACCATCACACTCAAAAACTGATGTGGTAATTGAGGTGTTACGTTACTATCTCCAAGAAGCAGACTCTCAGGGCTGCTAGCACAGAAACTTCATGCCTTTTATGGGACCAGAAGATTCACTACCATGTGTATACGAGCCCGCCGTTGATCTCTGTCCCTAGTCAGAGCAGTCCAGTCCACACCCTCACTCTCCCCCATCAACATTCAAGTCTAACAAATGATCTTTTTCCTTTAGTCTCACTGCTGAAATTTTGTATCCATTTACCATCGCGCCCATAGTGTTGCATGACAGGTCTGTTTCGTCTTCACTGAAAAAATTAATGGATTGTTTAAAAATTTGTTTTGTTTTAGTACTGTTCTTTTCAAATTTATTTATTAAGTGTGAATGTTCAGTGTGTTTTCTAAGACAAAAAGAAGTCTATTTTATCTTGAAATACAAGCCTTAATTGTATTGTATTGTTCGTATCTTAAATTGATGAATGCAAAAACATTAGGAGCATGAGCAGGGATACTGAAAACACAGAAAATGAGTTCTAATCTGTTTTAAGATTTGTGGTTAATAAGAACTAAAAATGTGTGACTATGGTATATTAATACAACTGTTGTGTTTGTGGACATTATCCGTCATCCAGTGATTTGTCTTAACTCTCACAGATGACTAGTGCTGTGCTTAGATTTTATACCCTATCTTGTGTTAGTGCAGATGTCCGCTGTTAGGGACTAGCTCTATCGATTGGGCCCAGCTGAGCAGGTTCCACCTGAAGACAGAGACAGAATCCAGTCATCGAAACGTTGGGTTTCAAATGAAAACAGGTCGGTGATTTAAATAAGATCAGGGAGCTGGATAATGTCCAGAAAAATAATATTTGTATTAAGATATGAGTATTTTGATTCAGCAAGTGAAGTGATGTCATAGGCAGAATTAGTACGTACGTAGCTGGATCTATTGAAATGGTGTTTAGACACAGATGAAGACCTTTGCCTATTCCTATACAGGCACTACAGCTCTTCCTATTACCTTCATGTGGGACGTCGCTTGCATATTCGGCTTTCTCTCATTCTATCCATTTTCTTTGAAAGTCTCATACTTTCTCATATACAACAGATCTTGAGAAAATTTATCTAGGAATTTTGGCGGGTTTACCCGCTTGCAACACCCCCTGGCTACGGAATAA